TGTTTGGACAACATTATTTGCCAAAGGCATGCCGAATGTCAAAAACAAAATGGGGATGACTGAAAATTTAATTTATTTTGCAGCACAATTAAATGCTAAATGAATTTTTGCTTAAACGTCATCCACTAGAGGTGTTTCAGGCAGAAATGTCAACAATTTTATCACTTTTGTCACTTGTGTATGCGTAGATAAGGGAAATATGAGACCTGCTTCCTTTTCAACTTATCTGGGGCTTACAGAGGGAGAGATCGGTGTCCGGGGCAAAGTGCGGAATGCGATCTGGAGCAAAAATGTGCGGACGTTGTTTGCTGACGAGAAATGGCCATCAGTGATTTATGCTTATCTGGATTTTGCTTTACTGATGTGAATCATCATCCGTGTTTTCCAGAAAAATCTCAACAAAGCGAACCGTTGAAATGCTTCACGAATTTTCCTCATTTGTTCAAATAGCGACATACCAATGGCTAAAAAAAATAATAATATATATATAACATAAGCATTCAGTTAAATCTTGTTAAATAATTAGTGGACTGAAAGTAGAAAAATATTTTGTATGTAAGCGAGATAATACATTTCGTTGAGGCTGCTTCACCTAATCGACGTGACTTTAAATGAGGTGAAGGTATAGTTCAAAACACTAAGTCGTTTTTGCACGTGGTTGCGATTTTGTTTTCCGTCAGAATGGCAACAAGCTAGTGATACCAGCTGTGAATAATTTGTTACTGTCTTTTAAAACTCATCGAGTCTTTTTAACATTAGAAGCAATAGTGTTCAACTTAACTAAACACGGGTCACAAAGCGTTTTATTTCTAAGATTGGAATCCGACCTGCCGAGTATTGTAGAATCCCTTTTAATCGGCATCAAGGGACCTCCCCGATTCTGGAAAGAAAATTTTTCCGATAGCTGTATATATATCACTAGAACTTTAATTGTTCATGTTTTGTAATGTCATCTGTAAATATTCCAGCACTCGAAATCCGTCGGTTTCTCCTCCTCCTCCTCCTCCCCCCCCGCATACATCAATTGCAATTAAATAGTATCGAAAATTATACAAATTTAAAATTAAACACACACACTATTTTATTTTTCCCGAAAAATGTCAAAGAACATTTTAAAATGATACCCCTTTTTCAGTAAACGCTCCGATTATTTCATCGTCATCTTGGCAGAACGTGATGGAAGCAGAATTGTCTACTTCCAACCAAATCTGCTTCACTAATACTAATCTTCTTCGTATATATAACAAAATCCAAGATATCAGCCACAGACGCCGAACGTATTTTAAAACCAACAGTATCTTCGCCACTCGACTCGTCACATACAAATATGATTATAGGCCATAATTTACGCCAACAGCAACGTAACATATTGTTCATTACATCTTCCCAGGCCAGAGACAAAGTAAAGTCACGTCTTTCAGTGTAAATTGTTTCTGAAAATCATGGACACCTGCCTTACACATTGACGTAGAAGTTTACACATTGATGTAAGGTAGAAAGAAAGGTGAAAGGGTAGATAGTTCATCTTTACATTCGAGGTAACTCCTTCGTCCATTGGTTGGATGCGGCTTTTTACGTTAAGCGGCAGAAACATAGCATAAATGTTTTCTATGTCTAAATATCCAGATTGCTTGCCAAAGCCTTCGAAAGGACCTTAGCCCACCAGCGGCCGAGCGGTAACGTCACTGAACACTATTAGTTCAGTCCGGGGTTCGAATCCTGCGATCGAGCTGGCTGCATAGGCGTTTTCGTAGTTTTTTCCGTGTATAACGTATATACGAGCCAGTTTCTCTTAGAAAATCCTCCACGAAGGCATCCCTCCCATTAGGCAGGTAGCCCTCGAGTGCTTTGCCGTAATCAATTAACGAAAATAAACAAACGAAATCAAAAGTGCTGCAACTTTTACATTGCCCATTAGAAGATCTACTATCTGAAATTTTAAAATCTACTGTCCTATCTGAAGTTAAAAAATAAAGTGCGAGGGTGAAAACCAAATATAGAACGCATAGAAAAACAAAATAAGAAAAAAAAACTAACAAGAACTGCAGTTTTGGTCCTTATTACAAAAAAAAAAAAAAAAAAAAAAAAAAAAAAAAAAGATAGTGGGGTAATTCTCAAAGTAACCATAAAAAATTTTCCGACTTTCGTAGTATTGATTTGTTAACAATAGAAAGGTCCTTAAATGTAAAAATTGAATGTCCCTCATTAAAATTTTAAATTTTAAAAGCCCGGGACTAAGTAATGCATGAAAAAAATTCTGCCTAACAGAAGGTCTTACCATTATACGGTACAAAATGGAGGTTTTAAAGATCTTCATATTAATATAGCATTCTTTTCTCCATTTAGCGAAGTTTTTACTATCAAATATTCTATACAGACTCCTATGGTATGATTGCTTATGAGTAACTGAGTGAATAAAACCTCTGAATACTGATAATTTCCCTCCAGATCAAATCCAGCGACGGTGCCTGAAGTAAGATAAAGTTAATTTATATTGGTTAATATACTGACATAAAGCAGACGAGAGTTATTTATTTAAGGAAAAGGATGCCTTCGAAAAGTTCTAAGGAAAATTAACTCATAGGGAAGTTTGACTCATGAATCTCGTTACACATGGAAAAAACGACGAAAACACCAGTGCAGCCAGCCCATTCACCAGGACGTGAGCCGAATTCGAACTACCAGTGTTCAGTGATCTTGTCTGCTTGGCCCCGATGGCCCCGATGATGCCTAAAACATTTCATTTATTTTTCAGTTGACAAAAGTGCCTTGCAAAACAGATTTGTATCCGTTAAGTCAGCATTATACCAACTATTGGTAGTATGTGTTCCAAATCATCGCCTGACCTGTTACCAAGTCGGTTAAGGCTGCTGGATACTGAAATTTCGACCCAGGTTTATGTTCAGGAGAACGAAGTGGCTGCATGGTTAGTTTTCATGGCTTTCCCTTGTGTGTAAAAATGTGAATACTAGACAGTTTCTCTTAAAAAGCTCGCCACAAAGGCATTCTTCCTCTTAGGCAGATAGCCCTGGTACTTTACAATATTCAAATAACCTAATTTGTTTCAAAGCATGACCGACGGAAAACACGTTCAGGAAGACATTTCGATTTTTGTCTCTAAGAAAAAGGGAAAAATTCTGTCATCTCCCAAATGCACTGAAACTACTTCAATCAGTTAACGCTAATAAAGCTTACTTTCTTGATTATTAAGTATTCTGTTTAGATCAGCGTCATTGTACGAAAAATGATTTGTAAATTAATGTGCTATTCAAGAATAAATGAGTAGCTTCTTACACAAAGTCGTTTATGGCACGAAAATAGTAGTTTCTCAAAGGTTTCAACCCAACATTACTTTAAATAATAACTTTTAAAAGGCAAAATATTCTTATGTGAGCTTAATGCGTATTCTTACATTGCATTAAAGTTCACCCGTGGCTGAGTGGACGAGAGTTGAATACTAGTAGTTTGCCCTGGGTTCAATTCCAGGCAAACGGGCTGCCTGCTCTCGCATTTTCGTGGTTTTCTTCATATGCAACATAGATTAGAGCCCGTTTCCCTTAGCAATTCTTGCCCTTCCCTTAGGCTAGTAGCACTTGCATGCTTTGCTATAATTAAATAAGCCAAGCCAAACCAATCGCATTGCTTTAAGGATTCATTTTAAGTTCCTTCCACACTTTTGGATCTATTTAAAAATTATTGAATAAATTGAAATTCAAATTGTAAAAAGTATAAAATTTACGTGCTTTGTAGGACATTAAGGATATCTATGAGATACAATAAATAAAACATTGTAAATCCTCACGATATTCCTAATTGTCTCGTAATGACCGTTTGAGAAGTAATCTGAGGATATGCCCGGTCTATAGTAAATAAGTACATCATAAATCCTCACAACATGCCTTACCGTTACGATGACCAGAAGAGGAGATTCTTAGGATATCCCTGAGAGGTAGTAAGTGAGACTTTCATTTCTTCACAAAATCCTCATACGTCTTCGTGGAGTTCTAAAAAGGTGGTCCTGGGGATATATGACATTTAGTTATCGGAAGGATGCATTTGGGAGATCAGGAGATATTCCGAGATGTTTTGAGGATATACGGGGTGATCATGAATAGCATCCTCAAGATAGCCGAAGGAGATTTTTGCACTATTACCGTAACTACGAACGCAAGGCTTGTTACCATTTAGAAACATCTTTTCAAATTTTTTGTAGACTTCTTAATAACGAAATCTTAATAATAATCTTTAATAAAGTGTGTAACTGATATAATTTGAAATACAGTGCATTAAATAGGCAGTATTACGAACGAACATAACAATACTACCTCAGTTTATAAAAAGTTCTTCATATGTACGCCATATATTGCGTATATCGGTGCAGAATTATTTGAATTCTCCCCCTCCCGGTCCCACGCTTATTAGTATAGACTTTCATGCATTAATATTATAGGGCAACTTCAAAATATGGCTACACTTTTTATGACATTTTGTTTTGTGACTGAAATATTATGACTAGGGGTAATGAGATGGTGTCATGAGATAGTGATCCCTCTGGATATTTCCCGTTGTGAACGGCCATTTTTCTCGAATTACCTATAATCGACAATAAGATTTCTATATTGAAATCGCATCTTACTGTTTGACAGTATCACAGCCTCACGATCATTCTCATAAGCAATCGCCCATGCTGCAGTTTCCTGTTGTATATTTAGGGGCGCCATATTTTCTTACACGAGCTCAAGTATGCGGATCTTATTTGAAATGAAAAAATGAAGTTTTAGGTTTGATATAACACTCACCAGTTTCCTCTAATGTATGCACTAATACACTATATTCATTTCAAATATATTTCTGGCACCCTTTAATCGTTCTTTTATGCCTAGATATCGGTAGCTGTAAACAGTATAGTGTCCTGAAGAATTTCTTAAAAGGGTTTTGTAACTTCCTAACTAACTACTTATTGTTTTGCTATTAAAATATGAATATTTTCCTCCTTTCAGTTGGAAAGCATCCTTGGCCTATCATGGAACATTCTAGTCATTGTCGTCATGTCACACACGGATATCGACGATAACAACTGTACCATCAACAAGTCTGTCACTTCACAAAACGCTTCAGAAGACTACACCACGACGCCCGTGCCAAGTACGCAAGACTACAATCAAGAACACGGTACTCATTGGGACACTCTACGGTACACACTTCAGAGTAATTCTGCTGTTTGTCAAGAACGTAAGTCCTGTTCTTACTTAAACTGTTTATTTTGTTTACTTACTAAAATGTTTCCTGTCATGTGAATACTTTGGAAGCGTTATTTGTCATAAATTATATTTGTTTGTTATATTTGTTATAAATTATATTTGTTTGTTATATTGTAAGGATCTTAAGTTTTACTAACGTTTATTTTATTTTAAATCTTTACTATCACTTCTTATTTTCTACTTCCGGCCAGAATTATAAGCGTTAACGTATTTATGCAAAATTTGTCTGGCGAACGCCAAGTATTTAAGTTGTAGCTTTTTGCCAAGCGAGAGAGGAAGCAGTTAGTCGAAGCAGGCCGTTTACCTTAGAAGTTGTACTCAGTTGCTGGTTGCCTTCCAGGCCAGAGGTTTAATCCTCTTGATAACTTTAAACGTATTGTAGTGTTAGCAGTTCTCTATACTACATACGGCTTCCTGTTAATATAAGGCCAATCTTCCACGTTTATTATTTTAAAGTTAAATTAGAGTTTAGTTATATTTTTATATTCTTACGTTTAGACCACGAGTAGTGGGTCTTTGTATTCCGAAGTACGGAAATTATTGTAAATAGAGAAAAATAAAGGGTTTTGTATACCCTTCTTGTGTATCCTGTCTACTTCCCACAGTTATTGAACATAGCTTTAGTAAGCTTTCTGTTCCGAGTCAGGTCCTTGCATGTTCCCGAAGAAGTTAAGACGGAACATTGAACATGATAATATTTGTATAAATTATTATTTGTTATAAATTGCTATTTGTTATAAATTTACCTGTAAACCAGCCTCTTCTTAGTCTATATTGTGCTGCAAAAGTTTCTCTACACTTTGATTCAAAAATGTCAAAAAAAAAATGACAGCATTACATTGAGAGTAGGGCATTGAAGTTGCCCATTTACAAAGTAAAATATCGCATTTATTGCATACAACAGTAAATGCAGTTGAACACATTTAAGTACGTCAGTGTCTTAGATTCTCAAAGCAGGCCTTACTTCTTTAATTCAAAGTCTTGGAAGTGTTCTCCATGATTATGAAAGTATTGCTGCCCTGCTTTAGTAACCCTTGCCATGAAGCGATTTGGACTTGCTGGTTGAGAATCTTAACTTTCTTGTAGTCTGTTAACTATAAGTACTAATCCAACAAAATGCATTGCTGGCCATCCAAAATGCAAAATTATGATAGAATCATCCAACGGGTTTGAAATTTGCGGCATGCGTAGACGGCGATTAAGACATGTTAATGAGTAGCATCTGAGCGCAAGTGAAAATCATGTGCGCTAATAACGCCGCCTAGATGATTTATAAAAAGAAAGAACAGTAGCTGTTTAATTCCGGATTTGCGTGTTTTTGTCCTGTTCCGTTTTGCAATGGAAGAAACTTTTACCATGCGTTGTCGATGGGGTGGAGGTAGTAATTCAAGCGAGTATTTGGGTTTGACAGATGAAGAATAGTACCTTAAAAAGACTGCGGATTTACATAGTCCGAGATCCAGAATCATTCGCACTTCGGTGATTCTGGATTCTAGATCACCAGTTTAGTTGTATCTTGTAAGATGTAGTGATCTAGTAAGATGAGGCGCAGAAATTATGTAATTAAAACAATGAAACATTTATGATGAAGCATTTATGATCTTTCAGAGAATCAATTTGTTAAAAAAAAAGGCTGAATAGATGTTTGTTTTATTAAATATTTCTTTTAATGTAAGTTCTTCAAGTTATTTATTATACATCGCCGAGTTTTGTGCTTAAATTTGAAGATGAATATCTTATGCTTTCCCGAGTGACAGCACAGCTTTCAAATCGATGAATTTTAATTCAGAAACTTCTTAAATTCCCACAAAGTACGAAATAAATAGAAAAAATTCGAAATTCGGCCTTCGTTAGGGTGGAAGACTACGTGTGTTCAAAATTGGGTGTTTCTAAGATGTTGCCATTTTTTCACAATAGGAGAAATATAACACAGATCATTCATTATTTAGTTATATAAATTGTCAAAGCTTGCGTGGCCAGCTGCATAAAATAGTTTGAATAGTAACCTTCAGTATGACTTGTCGGAAGAGGAAAAAGTACTCATTTAAGCAAGTTTCTGGGTTTGACAGATGAAGAACTGTAACTAGCTTATACAGGCTGTGACGTTTTGAGAAATGCTACCTTGGCTTAGGCGTTGCTCTATTATGTCGTTTAGCAAGTCTATTTAGTCGATGATTTTCAAACAAGTGGTACAGAATATATGACTTCCGGCTACGCCAGAAAAACTTAGGCATCCTGTGGAAACAGCATATACTAATACCTCAAGCACATATTCAAATCTTCTTTCTTTCAATGTCGGAGCATTTCTCAGCAGTTATTTCCAGATGTCGAAGCAATTTTACATGGCCTGCGAATACATTTTCCATAAATTAATTAACATTACTTTTACAAGCATTTGAAGAAATATTTATGATTTTAATGATTTGGAGTGCAATTTTACATTATTTTCATTACCAAAAACGGACGTAAGTGTAACGCTCAAAAAAGTCTAAAAATCGAGCTAATTAATTTACACTATGATATAAATCTTATTAAAATATTTGAAGACACAAATTTGATTAACATATATTCGTACTTGTCAAAAGATAAATGCTCCTCGTTACGAATTTTCGCGATAAGAATAATTGCTTTATTTTAAAGTGCATTTACATGTAAACGGTTTCTTCCCTCCCCCTCGGTAACTGGAAATTAATAAGAGAACAATCTCTCTTATGAGCACCTATAATTCGTGACTTAAGATATTTTCTAGTTGTTTTTCTCCAAGGTTACAAACGGTATCAAAATCGACATGTTGTATCTAAAAATTACAACAAACGATAAAGTTGTTTACAGTTATTTACATACTAATATGCGCTTTTTCTGTACGCGTCAAAGAAAAAATGTAATAAATAAAAAAAGAAAGAAAAGAGGTTATTTTTTCTGAAATGTTTTCCCCCTTTTGGGAAGTTTACGTAATTTTATTTTTAGTTTAAGTAATTTATTTAGTGTTTAATTCAATATATTAAAATTATTTGAATAAATTTCAGTTTGAAAATTTAATGTTTAGCTGCCAGTACGTTTTATTTACAAAGGTAACAAACAAACAGTCTTGTAGATACCAACCTCTAAATTTCAGACAAAAAATAAGCATAAATTTTAATTTTTCTTTACTTCATTGTTATTACTGTTTATGTGCGTTTTGACAAATACATTTTAAAAAATTTTCAATTTGATACAAATTTTATTTTTGCCAAAAAAAAAAAAAAAAAAAACTTCTTTTTGATTCCGGCCCGTTTTAGATTTTGCATTCGGCATACGTGCTGTTTGAGTTTGAGACCACTGTTGTACATTATTTGTCCAGTAAATATGACTTTCATATATATCTCTTGTTCTTCATTATATTGCTTTTTGGAACACCATTGATTTTCATGGTATTGCATTTAACGTATGTTATTAAACTTTTTTTCTAATAAACTGTTTGAACGCTATTTGTTAAAACATTTATTTATTTTTGCTATGCAAGATTTAAAAAATGACTTTTTTTTTCCCCCAGATCTATTTGAAATTGTTATCACTGCCCTCGTTTTGAACTCCTTCTGGCTCATAACGACTTTGGGTCTTGCAGTCGGTAATGCAGTAAGTACTTTTAGATATATCCATTTTTTTCCAGGAACTAACTTCGTTACCTTGAAGCTTTAACAAATTTTGAGTTTCATGATGATAAACTCTAGATATTGAGACTATAATACAGACTTCCAAAGCACAACAAGAATTTATTGAACTTAATATGAAGGTTTTAATGCTTCAGGTGTTCTACATAGCCCCCCCCCACGCACACTTGAGGATAATGCATTGAACGTTCATACAACAATATCAAACTGTCAGAAAAAACATTATTCAATATGCGTGTCACTGTGGATCGAATGTCGGTTACGTCGTTATAGCCTTCACTTTTCATGTGAAGTTTTTATTTTGAGGAATTAAAACTCTCACTTGGCTTCAAATCAAGAGAATATGGAGGGTTACTGAGAATTTACAAGTTTTTTTCACCAGAAACTGCACTATAACTCCAGCCATGTGACCGAGTACATAGTTGTGCTGCTTACAGCACCCCCTTCCTTACATTGTTTCCAGACGAATCCGTTGAATCCTTCCACAACCGATACATGACGCCCAGATAAAACTGGGAATATAATCTGCCACTGTAGTAAGCAGCACTGATTTGTAAGTTGAAACGAGCCCTTTATACCAAAAAGGGCGTGTGTGTATTGAGAATACGGCAAAGCACACTAGGGCTATATGCCTAAGGGGAGGAATGCCTTCGTGGAGGACTTTCTAAGGGAAACTGGCTTGTATACATGTTACACATGGGGGAAACAACGAAAACGCCCATGCAGCCAGCCCATTCAGGGGATTCGAACCTCGGACCGAACTACCAGTGTTCAGCGATATTACCGCTTGCCCACTGGTGGGCTTACTGAGAATGGATGTGACTCAAGTCAAACTGATCAGTTGTTCCAAGTCACTTTGTCTGGTCCAAAATGTCAACATTAATCTTGGATAAATTTCTCTTTCAGCAAAGTTTTTTAAAAAATTTCATTTTTGCTTTGTTTGTATTATTTAAAATATGCTATGTTTAGTGATTAGCTGTAAAAAAATGCATATAACTGAGAAATCCAGTTATTTTCTTTTCTGTAGCTCAACTTTGCAATTACTGTAATGCAGCTAAGAGGGTATTTTTTTCCATTTATTTGTTTCAATAAAGATTATAAAATCAGATCTCTAAAAAAAACTTTATTAACTCCAAAATACAGAGTAACGCACCTCTAAAATGTTATTGGAAAATTTTGACATTGTGAAAATAATTTTTTAATTTTAATTCATTGTACCTTAAATGCTTAAGAATTGGTTTGATTTTCTTCTGTTTTACACATAGTGCTTGCCTTATTAATATAGCAGAAATTCAGACTAATAAACTAATTAATTGATTAATTATAACTTCAATATAGCTTTGAAATCATTTTCATTGCTTGTACCTTTTTGTATTTTCATTTGATCTCCAAAAATAAGCAGAATTTAGCAAAATGACTCTCTCTTAAATCCTATTTTAAAATTTTAAATCATCTTCAAATTATATTTCATATACTGAGATTAATATATTGCTTTTGATATTTGAAACCCTGTTTGTTAATAAATATTTCATTTTATGTGAAAGCTTTTGGGCTAGTACTTTATTGCAGATATGAAGTAAAATACTAGTAGACTTTATACAAAATACTTTGGGTAGAAAGTTTAATCTTTTCTTTATTAGAGAGACTGTTTATTAGGTAACGATATTGTTATTCTTTCGTCAGGAACACATTAGAACTATTATAAACATGTGTATAATACACCCTGTTTCTTTTGTTCTTATGTATTATAGTTCGATAATAAAAATTTTTAGTTAGTGCAAAAGGAGAATTTTCTTGTCCATTGTAATCTCTTTTTCTCAGTATTAACACTTTGGCTGGCTTCCCAATAATGTTCAAACTTTTACCATCTGCTCACTTGCACTGAGTTTATGGACTGCTGTTTAAAATGGACTCTTTAAGAAAAAATTGTAAATTAAACTTTATCACATGATGTATATTTTTTCACAATACAGTTATTTAGAAAGCCATGTAATAAAATATTTTAATAATTCATTGTAAAACTTCAGACTGAAATGTAAATTTTAGAAAATTCTGTAAAGGTTTCAAAAATCACATACTTAATGCTAGCAGAACGGGTATACTTACATTACACCAGCTAATAAATGTTGGCAGATTGAATTCATTCATGTTAAACACTTAAAGATTTAACCCTGAAAACATATCAGCTAAATTTAAGGGGAATATGTTATCTTATTATTCTTAAAAGCCATGACATTTAGCTGTGAAGAAATTATAGTTTATAGTATAGCATTTGAATTTTGAAATATTCTGTGCAGGTTTTTCCATATAAAAAAAGAATGAATGTTTTTTACAACGAGGACAAGATAATACTTAATACACTAAAGTTTTATCCCATTCAGAGATTAATTTTAATCTTCATTTTGAGGGGACTTGAACTAATCACATTTGGTTAGATCTTTGAAACTGGCAAAAACAAGTTCGGAAAGAAAAGACAGACAGATAGTAAGAGAGTAAAAGATACCTGATTATACGGGAGCAATGAAAAAAATCTAACCTGTCTGTGCCCAAAAAAACTTCTTGAGAAAGAATGAGGTAAACTGTTTTCAAAATTATTTAGCGAAATATAAAACTTGGTTTTATAATTACCTTGGAGAGTTGGGAGGCTTGTAACTGTCTTCACTTGAAGTCTTTATACACCTTTCAGCCAATCATAGTATGGCATTAAAAATGCTGTTTTGCAGTGCCCTCGTTTTGAGATCGATATTTCAGAAAAATGTCATGTATGGAATGAAGTTTTGCAGCGAAGCATGTGTATGTTTGAAAGTAGTATGATTGAATGCTCTGGTATGAATTTCTAAATTGACGGAAGCGCTAATCCAGGGAGCAAAAATGTAATTTTAGGAAAAGCGAAGATGAAACCTGTGTGTACGAAAGCGTTTCCAAAGTTTTTGTGGTCAGAATGAAGAAATTGATTCCCGAACTTACTAACAGAAACATGAAACAGGATTCTAAATTCTGTCAGATGGCTGGAATGCATGTAAATGCCTTCAAGATAAAGCTTTACATACCTTATACCCAGTCATATTTTGACATTTGAGAGCCTTATTTATAGGACTCACGCAATAATTTGTGAAGCTCCATTAAAAGATCTATGCATGAAACTGACCACTCGTGTTTTTAAATGATTTCATTCCTTTTCAAGCGATCATTCGGAGAAATATGTCATAAATGACATGAAGTTTTGCAGAGAGAGGCATATATAGGAATGTGTGTGTGCAATAGTTGTAGGATTGGATATTCTAGTATGATTGTTTAAATTGATAAAAGTAGAAATATAGCTATGAGAAACGAGTGCATGAAAATGAAGGCAATGAGCGAGGTACGATTAGTTTTCCACGTAACTTGTTGGAGAAAGAATGAAAACGGTCTTTTAAAGATTGCGAAGAGAAATATAAAACATCATTCTGTAATTGTCTCAGATGGCTTGAAGTCATGTAATTATCTTGAAGATTAGGGTTTATACACCTTTTAGTAAGCCATTGTAAGAAATTTTGGAACTCCTAGAGCTCACATAAACTCGATTCAAGGTTTCTGAAGCTTCATCTCTGCGTGGAACTCACTACCCATCATTTCATTTCTTTTGAAATTAAATTTCAGAGAAATATTGTGGGTGAGACGGAACTTTACGGATAGTGAGATGTGTAGGAATGTGTGTGTATGAAACTTCTGTGATTGGATATTCTGGCATGATTATTTAAATTGATGAAAGCCAGTTCAGAAACCAAATATATAACAGTAGGAAAAGAGTCCATGGAACTTGGCTAAATGGAGGCATCGAAAAAGGTGTGACTGCCTTTTTCCCCCGACCTTATTGAGAGAGGAAAAATGAATGAAGGTCTTCTCGAAATTATAAATCCCTTGCCGTACAATTTGAGTGGCAAGAGCTCGTGCTATAAGCGCCAACAGAGTCTCTCACACGTCTAGCCATTTCACGATTTGGCTGAGCATTTAAAGTGGAAACAACTCCAGCATCAGTTATGTCCAGAAATTACACGCTTTTCTGAAAAAGTTATGGTAGCCGGTTATATTACAGAACTGCCAAACGTTAAAGCTCTATTGCTGAACTGCCAATTATATTACTGAACTGCCAAACTGAAACTGACTGCTGTTTCACTTAATCAAATAGGCAATTCTATTGTTTATATTTAATCTTTGTGTTCATTTTTAAGCTACAATATGCTAGGAAGTTTCTTGAATCAAGTAAAGGAACGTTACAATCGCTAGTTTTTAACTTGAGCTATTATTATACGTAGTGCAAAATTTTCGTTTCATCACAGTCTACAGGAAACCAAGTCTCGTCTATTTTTAGTGTTATATTTAAATTGTTTGCTGTGTAGTTTGCGTATCGTTTTCCCTCCGTGACAATATTTTCCTAAAACGTATCGTCAAATATTATGTTCCAGATGTCCAATTCCTTTTGTTTTCACTTGACTGACTGAAAGTTGGCCACTATTATTCCAGGAATCTCTGTGTATTTCCAAGTTTTCTTTAAAAAACTATAGCTTTGTTTGTTAATGATTATTACGGTCTTTTAAGTCGGTATCATCTTCACTAACCAGTGTCTTACAGCATTTTAGTACAGGAAATAAAATGTCACTATTACTATTTAAAATATCTATCAAATCATTATAACAATGTCAGCAGAACTTTCACTACCCTTGTCAAAGCTTAATATTCTTTTTGAAGACATCTCCAACATTATCTAATATTCAAGAAAATATATCTTCACATCTGAACGCGACCATAAAAATAGTGTTTGTCGTGTGTAGCCCAAACGACGTACCATGCCTCTCACAGATTATTTACTTTTAACCCGATCGACTTATCGCGTCTCTCACGCAACATTATGAGGCTATAGTTTAAGAGAAATATCAAGCAGGATTCTGTAATACTTTCAGATGGCTCGAAGGTATGCCATTGTCT